AGGCTCGCATCTGATATGGGCTGCGCGATGGATTCCGGGCTCATCTCGATATTTCGGAAGAATGCGTCGGGTGGCGATCATCAGGGATGACTTCGTATGCAGGCGAAATAGCCGGGGGCGTGCGGAGATTTCGGAATCGATAAAAAAGGAGAGTTCCTCGGACGGCCGAGGAAAAAGGCTCGCGTAGGGACGCGGCGAGAATCGTGTGACCTTCGATCTCGAGGAAACCTTGGGTTCTCCATATCCGACGAATGATGTCGTTCGTTAGCTCGTTCCATCGGGCCAGCGGCTCTCAACTCGCCCTATCTGGAATTCCAGGAGGAGCGGCCGAGTTACGGCGATGATATCAATACTCGCGAGATACCGCGGCGAGGGAGGAGCGAGCCATATCTCGCTCGTGATAGCATTGTGGCGTACTAGTGTCTGCTCTACACCGGGTACATTGTCTGCTAAAAGTTCGTCTGACGACCGAGCTGAACGTGATTTAAGCTCAGGGGTCATATTCCAGGTGTATAACGAACGTTAAATATGTCCTTCCAATTTGTTTCTCTTATACCAGAGTCGCGTAAAACATCTTTTCAGCTTGAGAATCAGAGAAGCATATTTAATATAGAATCTTGGATTTACAGAGAGGCGACAATGAAAAGTTCCGTTTTATCGGTTATCTGAATCCTAAAGCCCGAGCGTCATATTGTTTCTACAGCTAATTCGAGCTAAATGTGACGTGAGTATACTTATTTAAGATAATTATTGAGATTAACTTTACATATCACTGTGCATACAAAATGGCCTCTTTCAATATATCGAAATGTCGCTCTTCTGCAAATTTCTTAGAGTGGAAAACAGTATTTTCACTCGAGACGATAGTAAAAATATTACCACGTGAAGCCACAAGAGTAAATGTTTTATTCAAGATTAGAGTGGATTCTGATTCCGTATGAGTGAATGTTTCAATCAATTGAAGTGAATATGTTCCTCTGACGGTGGAATACGTAACGTTCGTTCTTCAATTTCGAGTGAAAATATTCATGCAACGGTTCAGAATGGAGAATTCGCTCCTGTAGGAGGGAAAAATAACTCGAATTCCAGTGGCTCAGCCGTTACTGTACTTTTCGAGTGAAATTTCGCTCCAAGAAATATAGAGAGTAGGGCTCTGATTTAGCGTTCGATACGCGTCCAGAATAGAGACTCAGACACTCGAAGATCCGCGGCACATGAATCGACTTTCAAGTTCCAAAGCCCGTGTACAGAGCTTGCCGTTTGCTATTCCGTCGGCAAAACGTGGCAAATTTCGCGTAATCTCATTAAGTGGTTCTTTTTTCCCTCGTTTTACCGCCTCTTTCACTAATCGAGGTGTTGGAGTGTGAAAAGCACGCGTCACGGTCGAGCAATATGCTGAATACACCGAGCACGCGATCGTTATTTGCGCCGCTACCGTAATCCGAGGTGGTTACGCGCGCTCTTCCGCAACGGCGGAGGAAATCGACTTGGCTTTAAACGACGATTCTCACCGTTGAAATATAAACACGTCCCCGTTGAAATAAGAGCTCTCACCCCGCACATCGGTCACGACGGCTACGTGTAGTTCGATAAGACGAGCGCTCTTTACTTGCAACTCCCGATCGTTATTGCGTCCTCGCCGACGACGGAGGAAAACAAGATAAAAACCGGCGTGCCGGAATTCCATGTGCGTCACGTTCGCGCCATGCATTTTGAAATTCGAAACAGGTCCCGGGCTCCTTCCAGGAGACGAGCCGCTTGGCCCACAGGCCAGAGTCCATCTCTTCGTGGTATTGTTATTGTCGTCGACCTTTTCTCCACCTCCACGTTATGATGTAATTCGCCACACGCGCCGCCGAGCTTCTCGAACGGCCGGGGTATATCCATTCCGCGTCTCGTCGCCTTGAACTTAAGACACCGTGTGTACCGATAGGAGACCACACGCGTGCCGGCGTGTACGTCTACGAGTACGAGCTCTCGCGCTCCTAACGAGTGCGCACACTTTGCGTCAGTGGCGTAGAAGACGGCCGTTTGGCCGTCATTGGCGTTACATTATACCGTCCGTGCATGTATTCATTGTCGTAATGAAATTTTATTGAATCACCGGCGCACTAAGGCTAATCGTAATGTTCGAGGCGGATTCTCGGACTCGGCGAGTTCGACCTTCTGCTTTCTAAAGTGTGCAGTTAGAATGCATTCTTCACTTGTTATATTTATAACAAATGTTATATTTATAACTAATGGTTCATGATTGTTATAAGTATGGCATGCAATTGGTAAAATCTCGTTGAAAGAATCAGTTAATAGTAGAAATGCCAATATAAAGAAAAATATATCATGTTTAAATGTATTTGTCAGTTTTGAAATCGCTCACATATACATCGAAGACCTTTTTACTGATTCGCTTCAAGAAAGTATGCTGCAAACACGAAGAGGTGTAGCCAGGTCGACCCTATTAATTCGATTTTTATCCGGCACGCAATCCATACCGCGTGATTATCTAACAAATCGCGTGAGGCGCGATCGCGCGATTACTTTAGAGGTCGTTCACACGACCATTGAGAAATTCGCGAATATTCACGATGTGGAAGAAGCGCGGCCTATGTTTATCACGTTGCAATAACTCGTGCTCGAGTCCATGCGTTCTTGCGATCGTTCGTTCGTTCGCTTCCTTCTTTTTTCTCTCTCTTTTTTCCTCATCCCACTGTGGCCGCCTCGAATCTTCGCGGCGGATATGACGTAGGATTTTTGCGACGCCGGCCGGCGGCCAATTATGCGTTTTTCACCGAGAAAAGAGCAATGACGATCGTCTGCCGCTCGTAAGCGTAATGAGTCCGCGTTACTAATGATCGTACGTTTGTGATCACGTCGAAGGACCGGATGCCGCCAGTCCCGCTGATCAATCGATGATAGCTGGCGACGACCTTGGCAATTACTACGTACGGGCCCCCATCGTTTATGGCCCCCGTCGGCGTATTTTTCTAGCCCGCACGAAATGTCATTCGATTGCGATCGTTAATTTCGCGGCGGCTTTGAGCGAGCGATCGCACACGATTCGGAGCGACGTGACATTTCGAAGAAACGCCGATCGGCGCTCATAATATCCGATCATCATATCCCCGTAAACGAGCTCTAAAACGTGTACGCGCATACACACTTCCCTCTCCAGTCGGTTTACCCTCTCGTGTTAAAATCCTGAGGGATTTGTGGCGAACCAATTTGTACTATCAACGAGCTTCATCCTGTGGAGATTATCGTGGTCGATATTAATTAAAATCAAGCCATGAACGCGCAAAGGAGCCATAAACCATAAGAGAACGACCACCATTTTGCCCGCAATACACGGCGGAGGATGCCGCGTGCGGATGTTGAGCGATTTTTTGCGGATTGCGAAAGAAACCCCGCTCGTGTTGCGCCGCGTCGAATGACATCCGCGCAAGCCGAGGATTACACTTTCTGGGGCATTAGTTCGCCGTTAGAGCGAGATAACGACAGAGTTAATCCGCCTTTTCCGGCAAACGGCACAATGCGGAACGACCGCGCCCTGCCGCCGTTCTTACCGGAGGAAGTCGTGCACTCTCCGGCCTCTCCGGCCGCGCTTCTTCGCCGCACGATGGTTCTCGTGTCTGGCGCGCGCTCTTCTTCACCGGTGTCCAGCAGTGTTCATCCTCCCGCTGGCACTCAGGACTCACCTCGTCTCGTCTCGTCTCGTCTCGGCGGAGGCGCGTGCTGGAGGAGACGCGTGTGAGTACGTTCGGCACTCCATGTGCGAGCGTGACACAGGAGTACTCGGAGAGTACGTGGCAGGTGAGGCGAGGAAATCTCGTGCCCTGCCTCTGCCCGGTGACTGAACCCACACAGCATTTCACGTAAGGAGCGCGCACGTACGCACGCACACACCCTTGTATGTACACACCCGGTCCGACGACCGGCATGGACGTTCTCGAGCACGTCAGACCGAAGAACCGTTCGAAGAATTTCCTCGTCGGTTAAGATATCGACGCACTTTTCGGATTAAAAGCCGAGCTCAGGCTCGTGCATGGGTGGTGGAGAATCGTGGAAGCTGCTCATTAATCTGTGTTATTTTGTTGCTATCACGCCATCGACCCGTAGGCCGTGAGAAGGGTGATCATTACCGCAAGAGAGAGAGAGAGAGAGAGAGAGAGAGAGAGAGAGAGAGAGAGAGAGAGGGAGAGCGAGAGATTGCACGACGTTAACAGAGATATTAAAATTCCTGATGCCATCGACTCCTTGTTATCGTAAACGGTGTATCTCTTGGGCGAATTTTGTGAGATCTTTAAATATTAAGCGTCAGTTCAGAGTCTAGTTCTGGAATTATGTATGTGCTCTGGTGAGCCATCTTGAATAAGATGAAAATGAGGAGAACAACTCTGATAGAAATTTAATGCAGTTGCCAAGCAGTTACTGGACAGCTACGTTAAATTTTGTTTAGTAACTGTGATGAGTAAAACTATTTGGGATCCCAGTCAAGATGTAATGTTTTTCCTGCAGTTACTGCGCACGAAAGATGTGCAAAATTGTATCTGTTGATACTGAAAGGAAGTAGAACAGAAAATAAGCAAAAAATTATTCGATTGATTAATAATAAAGTCTTGATATTTACAGAAATATTTTTTGCCGACGCATGAAAAAATGTGATAACAACTGATGCACATAATCGCTATCAACTGAAGGCTTAGCGGCTTAGCGTATCTCGAAGGTTTTGTTTAAGTACCAGGAAATACGCAGAAGAGCACGGCAGAATGGAAGAGGGGAACTCTTTACGTACGTGGAAGTGTGCTCTCCGCTTCAGACTGTCATAAACCTTCCGAGAAGGAGTACCTTGGTTACGAATGTCGTGCTTAGGAGAAGTGACATCCTCGCGACAACCTAGTCGCCGCGTTTGCGTTTGCGGAACGTTCGCGCGAAGTTGTCACACTAGAGAAATCAAATGCAGCTACTCTCTCCCGTAAAAAGATAATCCGTAAACTTATACGTACCTTGTCCTCGCATGTCTTATGGCAAATGTATTTGCAAACTGAAACAAAGAAAGACCCGACTGTACAATATGATTCTTACGGAGAGATTGCCGCGATATATTTCTCGCGCTTATAAATTCCAATTTACAAATGTCGCAGATTCGCAAACTAAACATTTTGATTGAGTGGCAAGCAGCTGCGGATAGGGCTTCGTTCGTTTCGCTCGCACGCGTTCGCGAGTCAATAGGATCGTTATCGCCAGCATTACAATCATTTCTTCATGTCATGCTAATGTACAATCACGTTAATTGCTCGTTTGCGCGGGGACGCCGGCGAGAGAGGATCGGTCCGATCTGACTTTCACGCGCGCAGATGCGCGTTCTATCGAGCGAGTTTCTGCGTTAATCGTAGCAATCGTCTCGTATAATCTGGGGCACGGCAATGAGACTTAATACCAGTGATAAGGTTAATAATAATAATAATAATAATAACAAAAAGAAAAATGTCAAGCGGAACGCTTCGAGCCCCGCAGCGGAATCGTTCTAACTGGCACCTTCCCGCCAAGTAGGAGCTTCCGTATCAACTATTGATTTGAAAGCACTACCGACCCCGAGTACTACCAGCTGTTACTGCCTTAGGGAATGATGTTATCGACTCACCTCTGCAGCAGGAGGCTTGCTTGATGACCGCTTGGTGGCACAAATGACATGGTCTGGGCTTGCGCAGTTGCTTAGTGCGGAACACGTGGCACTGTGGTTCAAAGTCGCTCTGAAACAGAATGGTAGAGAGAACGAATTACTACGATGATCGCCTTGGACAATCAAAGGAAGGAAGCGTCATGACCGGCGCCACCTCGTACTTTTTGCGGCCAACTTTTTCATCAACATCGATCAATTAGTCGCGGGAACCCCTCGAGCGATTAACCTCGTTAAGGCGCGACATTATAAAAGGGGAGTCTGTTCAACAGTGTTCGAATTCAACTCGAAGAGGAATATGTTTGTGATAAATGAGGTCGCGAAACGCAAGATGTATTGCAGCCATGGATATTGTAATGCGACGAGGTATTTATAAACGAAATGTTTGTTAATTGAAAAACCGACAACGTTAACGTTTGCATCTCGGGCATATGCAACGACCACCATGTGATTGTGTTCATTGTACTTCTGTGTTTGGTGTTAGGATATTTGAGTGGAACATCAATGTAACATTTATATCATTTGCAATTGTTATTTATGTGACAATCATGTACCACTCTGAGAAAGTGAAAATTAATTTTGCCGACTGCCTTACTCTGATAAGACAATATTTACGAACTGCGTGACGGGAATCTGATGGGAAATTTAAATAAAATTTATAATACAGTAATTTTATATACTTTTAAAAAGAACTTTTATATACTTTTATATACTAAAAAGAACGTATTAACTCGTTTAAAAAAACTTGAAGAAAGTTAAATTATTAAAATACGTATATCATACACATACAATACTTTTATTTTTAATTACGTAATATTTTACTATCATGAGGTAGTTACAGAAGAATTTTCAGGAAGTAAATGTAATTATAATTATATTATAACAATTATTATTAAACTGGTATATTTACTATTCGTTGGATAGTTGGCGTATTGAGGAATTTATACAATTTGTACAAAAGATTTTATATATGGGAAAAATGTTGTAGTAAGGATCACTTAAAAATTATATTTCACTTTAAAATTTTGTTCTAAAAATCTGGATTATGTTCCTTAAACTTCCTGGATTATGTTCCCGTTGTCACCTTTCGTAACCTTGAATACGCCTTTCTCCTTCTGTGGTGGGAAGTCTTCCCTTTTGGCGCGTTGCGAAACGTGGAATATCAAGCATTCGGGGGCTGCCAAAAAAATTGGTGTCGACCCCGGAACTTTTTCTATAATTTACATCGGATGAGGAAGAGCAACGGTGGAGTCGGGCATACCTGGACAGCAACCTTTGATCTTGAGAGATTGACAGCTATACCATTTGGTACAATAACAATGTTTTTCTCTATAGTCGTCGTGCGCTTGGGATCGCGTTAGACATGCTTTCGAACGGCATCTCTGAGCGTTCTCTAGGGAGTATCAGGTAACTCAGTGGTTTAGAGCAGTCGCCCGGAAAGCGAAAGACCCGGGTTCGAGAGTCCCGGCCTTTCGATATTTTTCTCTCTCTGGAATGAAAAGATACGCAGGTCCCGAACGTACGGCGTCCTAGTACGCCTTCCTCCTATTCTTAAGCGCTTATATTGTTTAATTTAAAAATTATATTTAAAATTTTGCTCTAAAAATCTGGATTATGTTAATCTGGATTATAATATAAATTATCGTAGATATAGTTTACCGAATATACGATATAAAAAATGTTAAAATAATTACAATAATTTTATAGCAAAAAATCAAACGTACATGACATTTTTAGACAAATATATATAATAATTTTGGTCTTAATTTTCATGTAGTCCAAGAATAAAAAGATTTATTGAAATTTTTAGTACGATATTTTCTCCACGTGAAGAGAGTCATTTTGAAACAAGAATCACTGAAACTGGAGCATCATTATCGGTGTAACGAAGTTATCGTAGAGTGAAACGTCAGAATGCACTTCGCAATATTGCCAGCTCGCAATGAGCTCATACAATTAATCACATAACAGGGATCAGCTTCGCTTAATCACTGCTCCTACGTTCCCCTCTCGCTCTCTCTCGGCTGCGCAGGCTTCGCGGCGATTATAATTATTCTCATGTGTGGCTTTTCTGCGGCCACGGTGGAAGAAGGCTCTCGAGCGGACGACCGGCGCATAAATTGAGAAAACAGAACAGCCATTCATTAGGATCGCGTTTATCCCCGGATACGCTGCCGGCGGAACGTTTGCCTTCTCTATGACTTCAGTACGACAGTCAACCTGTTAACAGTACTTAAGCCGGTGCGCAGCACTGTCGGGAGAGGCAGTTCGCAAAGTTATGCGCAAATAAGCGCCCGGGGCGCTCCGTATCCTCTGCGAAGCGCGGTCTCCGATTACGAACACGCGATGCTCGGCTCTTCATCGAGAAAGGTGGTTACCCCCGTCTCCTCACCCACGTCGATCGAATCCCCAGAGAGGAAAACGCAGATTTGAATACGGGTTACCGCGGTACGGTCTCGACAAATCGCGCTCAGTGAAGCGCGAGTGAGCAATCTGCACACGCAAACGATACTACACTAGGTTTATAAATCCACACACGGGGAGCAGTGAGACTTCCTTTGACAGTCGAAATATTTTAAGTGAATCGAATGGAACTGGCGTGTAGTAAACGCTATTGCGAGGAAGTGGATTCTGACGTTTTACGTGACGTTGGTTGGAAAGTCTACTGAATAAAATTACGTCATTTTACAGACGCAAAGCATCGTATGTTGTCGTTTTACAGCTGCAAAGCAGTGTCGAGTGATGCAACCAAATAAAACTTGCACGCTTAAGGGGAAGTTTTTGTAAATTTTTTCATTTTCTGGTAAATTTAATATAAGTTTCAAATTTTCTTGTTTCATTTACTTCAAATTATTATGATGTTATATTGTCTGTCAGTTAGAGGCGGTCGCAGAAAAAATCTGGATGACGAAGTTTCAAAATTCCTTTTTAAATAAGTACATAATTTTTTATACTTAAAACAATGATAAATAGCAATGGCCGAAACCTTATATTGGTATCTTTATTAATTTCTTTGAAGAAAAATTCGTAAAAATCTCTTACTTTTTCGGCTGTTTACGACAACCTCCCTTTAATACTATATACGGAAATATTTTGCAGCTATGGCATTTTTATGTTCGTTATTCTTCAGATACATAATTACGGTCGTACATTTCCAAAATAAAAAGGAAAAGAAAAATGAGAGGAGCAAGAGATAGTTATATAGTACAGAACATATAATATATGAGCGCAGCTTCGTTATAGCCCGCAAAGGCTCGCGAATGCGTGCACGCATGTACTCACTCATTCACTCACTCACGCACGCACGCATGAACGAACGCAGGCACATTTTTCCTCGCGCAGATGTTAAGCGGGTTTAATCATCGCACATGAGAGTGCGGCTATAACGTTTTCCAGCGAGCCACGTAATTGAGACGCGAGAAAAACGCGCGCCGCCCGGCAGGGAGAGACTCGCGGATGAAATTCACACGACATCTCGTGCCGGCGATGCATTAATTTTATTGCATACTGCGCATTATCAGCGTTGGCCGGCGACGAACGTGTCGACGTGGATTGCAAAATATCGGGCCATTATTGCGCCGCAATATTTCGTAATTATCAGTTTTATCGGCGCCGCAGGGCACGCGCAATGAATTATTATAATGTTATATGGACCCGGCGCGCGGACTCGGAAGAACGGCCTTCCTTATTGGACATTATACGCCGTGATACTTTCCTCGCTCGCTCGCTTGCTTGCTTGCTTGCTTGCTTGCTTGCTCACCGTAAACCCTGCCACGCGCTTATCCTTTTTATCGAACGATAAAACACGCCGTTCGTCCATTGTACCGCTTTTTCGTCGAGTCTTCGTGAGGTTTGATCTATGGACACCGCGTTTGTCGAAATTACTCCTCGGGCTGGTTTATTGTTGCGTAATGACATGCTGCTGTATATTGTCGCACGTGTCTCGCCGTCGTAAAAGTTGATTTGTGCGGCCGAACCTCACACCGTGCCACGTGAACTTCGGAATAAATTTCTCGGTGATCCCACGCGCGTCTTGAATTTACAGCTATCGTATCGCGTATCTCTCTCTTTCGCCTGTGTTCCTTCGTATTATTTGTCACAATTAGTTGTCCAGTTGGCAAACAGACGTTGATGTAATTTACGCTCTGTTTCAATACGGTTTCAACACTTCTTTTTTCGATGTATTTTAAAACGTAGCCAAAGTCCAACAAGAGAAGATTCTTTCTATAATATTTTTTTGCTGGGCTGTACTGGAATTATATAAAATACTACAGAAACAGTAATTTTGTATTAACAAGTAAACGTGCACAACATTTTCCGATAAATATATGACAATTTCGATCACAATACTATGTGGTCCAAAATTACAAAAATTTTGTTGTAATTTTTACTACGATATTTTTTCCGTAGTCGCGGGATTAATACCCGTGGGACTTTATCATAGATTTTATCATAGATAGACTTTATCATAGATCCCACGCCCTTTTCCGGCGAGAGTTCTGCGATTTAGCAAAAATTTGGCACGTCGCCTTTCACCCGTCGATTTCGATGAATCCTTAAATGTAAAACGCGCCATTCGGCGAATATTCCATATTCGAAAAGCAATAATAAGCGTCACATTAATTATCGGTCAAGATCGTGACTATCGTTCGAAAAGCATTCCGCGCTTTTCAGAGATCGTTGGAATTCGAATAGAGCGTGCGAATCGAGAGATAAAATGGCTGTTTAATGCCAGCGCGGCCGATGGCAGCCTCCCAGCGATAATTCAGGCCGCTTAACGACAGTATATCTAATTCGCCAGCTAATTACCCGATCCGTTCGTACGGCACTCCTTGACAGCGCGTCGTCATAAAAAGAAAGAAAGAAAGGAAGGAAGAAAACGATAACGGTGTGTCGACGTAACACAATACGCGTTAGTTACGGTTGAATGTTATTTATCGCGTAACGATTGTGCATAGATCTTGCTGACTAATTGCCGGATTCATTAGTACACCGAGACCTTTGACATTACTGGAATCAAGCACTACCATTGATCACGTAGGGCTAATTGATCTTTAATCTCCGCGGGAATTG